TTCATTTTAAATACTAGTACACTCATGTAGAATTATAATTAAAATTTAGGATAACATACCTCACTCCTTAACTTTTGGTTATAATTTCAGATAAATTCGTTAGTTTTCAAAATGAAAATTCAGTCTAAAAAAAAAACTTTCTCCAGACATACAGATTCAGCTGTTAGTTAATCATTAGTATTTTTATTTGTTTGTTGACGTGATAATATTGAAAATATAATTTTACCTTTTATTAATTTTAAAAATTACTATTATACATGTTGGTTTGTGCACATGTATATCTATGTTAGTACTTGCCAAATGCATCTCAATTATTCATAATAAACTAAAGCTATCAATAGCTAATTGTATTTCAAAAGATTAAAACATTGATATATATAAAATTTATTTTAATAATAAATATAAAATAAGTAATTATTGAAATTGTATCCAAATTTATTTATTTATTTTTAATTTATCTAACAAGTTTAATCTGATTAAGTTCGATTACTAAACATCTCTATTATGAATCATATAACACAACTACATTAACTTGCAATATATTTCAATGAATAACTATATTAACTCCAGAGATTAAAAATAAAATAAAACGGGAATCTAAGATGGTTTGCATATACATCTGAGGGTCAGCATCAGCCAATGGAGGCCAACTTTGCGGCAGCTAAAATGTGGCCCTATTCCACTAGTCCACGTGTATGGTAACAGGTGCAATCATTGCCAGAATCAGACAATTTATGGTCCGTCATGATGAGCTGGACGGTGAGATGGCTCCGACTAATTTGGTTTTACAGAAATTATTCGTCCAAATGGAATGTGCAAACGCCACAAGCTTGTTGACATAATCAGACAAAAGCAAGATCCGCCACTACTCCTAAAAACCGGTCACAATCATAATACATATTATGAGCTTCATCATTTTTCAACTTCACTCCTAATTTTTTGCGATAATTACTCTTGAATTTTAAAGATTAAGGTTCAAAGCTTAGTTTCCTTCAATCTTATTCAAAGTTCACAATCAGAGCATGTGCGTGCTTGATATTTATATGGTCTCTGATATTTTAATTTTAATTTTAAAGAATATTAAAAAAAATTTAAATAAACTAATCAGATCAAATTAAGCTTAAATTTAAATTTTAGAAGGAAGCACTATCATTGAAATCAGAATCGACTGAGTAATAAATATCTTTCTATTCGAAGTATCTATTAAATTACCTATAATTGATCTAAAAGAGATTTATATAGATTTATTTTCCTTTATACAAAATGCATGAAATTAAGGGCTTAAAATCATTTGTGTTCCCCCACCTCAGTGTACGTGGGATGATTTGAATGTGAAGCTTGCAAAATGAAATGACGGGGTTTATTGTGGGATCCAAATTCCACTCATATCATTCATTGGGTCTTTTTCAACATTTTGACTTTTCCACAATAATTGAAACTTGATGGCGTCACCGTGGCTCCTAAATTTATACTCCTACGTACCATGATTACTTGTGATGGGCTGATATTCACACATTTGATTTTTCCTATGGATGATTTAACAGTATTGTAATTATATCATTCACATTTCATTAATGAAAATAAGTACAAAAAAAAAATATTTTATAATTATCAAAGCTCAAGCCTCGTGCATTCTCCATCCTTGTTTAATTTGTCTAATTAGGTTTCTTTGTTACTCTTTATCATATCTATATTGTAAAAACCTTATAATCCTTGCATAATATCTCAAATTACATATTGACGAGGTCACTTGTTCATTGTGAATCAATATGCCTCAAGCATACTGGAAATTTGTAGGGTTTTGCAAACCTTTGGATCACTGTTTAAGTCAAAGATTCCATAGCTGAATTTTCAATGACAAGGGCCCTTTTGCTCACATGAAGGGTGAAGCAAATCTAAAAAGAAAAAGAAGAAAATTTTGCTTCTCATTTGTGGGCCTTCATCCACATGGTGTACTTGACGAGGGCTGAAGTTAGAACTGTAGATTTCGTGTATTATGAGATGGCATCGTAAGTATCCAGTGAACAAACATAGGTAAAATATTTAGTATAGCTGTCACTGACACCTTTTCTTTGTTTCGGGATCATTAGGCTCAAAGCACAACTTGAATATTTAGATTTAGGATCCAATTAATTTAAGTTTTGATAATTAATAAGGAGGTCATGGTGCTCTTCTCTGCTCAAAATGACAGCAATAATGGTATTTGATTCATACTGGTAATGATAGAAATAATAGAAGAAAATGAGTGCAGCAATGACCCAATGACACATTACATGTAATGGCCACCATCATCAAACGTTTTCTCCTCTTTCATCATTTAGATAGTACAATCTACCACTGAAGTTAATCCATTGATTGCCAAATGAACATTTGTCTCTCATTCTTAATATTTTCCCTATTTTGTTTGCATTTATGTCAACTCAAAACTATTAATATTTGGGATTGGAAAATCGAATGCATATTGAATTTAAGGATGTTTTGGATAAGACAATCCCATGGAATCATTGAGCAAACAGTGACTCAAGGTCTCATTAATGCCATAATATTATCAAACTGTAAAACCAAATTCAAAAATCTAAAGGAAAAATCTTTTCTTATATTTATTTGTGGAAAACAAATTTTGAGAGAAAGAATATATTTGAACTTTGAAGGCACTCTGATATAAGAAAAGAAGTTATTAATCTTGAATAAACCAAAAAAAAAAAGTTCAAATCCCTCTTACTCCAATTGAATAAAAAAAAACTAATAATCCTTTATGAAAGAAGAAAAGAAGAAACTTGGTGCTTCTCCTAACTGGAGCTTCCATCACCACATTTGGGTTCAAAGTTCCAATATAATGGATAAACCACAGCACACCCAAAACTTGGCCCATCTATTAAGATGAATGCCCATTATAAGCTTGGATTCCGTTTGTAGGCCGTCCTAAAAGCCTCTACCAATGAAGCAGTAAGGATTAAATTATTTTTGGACACATGTCTTTTTTGTGACTTCACACATTAATTATGTTCATGTATATGTGAACATTTTAAGATCTATTATCTTTAATAATACTGACAGAAACTAAAAAAATAATTATCATGTATATCAAGTTACATACTTTCAGGTGAGATTAGATATGATAATTTTATATACGATACGAGATTTGGATTTCGGATAATCGTGTCGATATGGTAAAATTATTTCTTAATCGTATCAAACTTGCTTAATCTATTTAAGACACGATTAGTGAATCGTGTTATCTTATACTCATATCACATGTGACCCATTTATTATTAATTTATTTAATCATGTTCACATGTCGTGTAGACAAGTTTACTACACGATTAAGAATCATTTATTGATTTATATAAATATTAATATTTTTATAATGATTAGAATTTATTGATATTAATTTTATTATATTTGGTAAATATTATGATATTTGTAATTTCTTATTATAAATTTAAATAATAAAATCATATTTTACTTATATATATTTCAATTTAATCGTTTTAATCGTGTATTAATTGTATCAAGTGTGTAAATAGGTTATAAATTGTATAAATTTTAATCATGTTAATTATATCATGTTGTATAAAATTTAATTCGACACGTTTAATAAACGTGTTAACCATGACATGTCGTATTAAATGTTTATTAAATGTATCCGCGTATGTGTTTAAAATCTTTACATAATTAATTAGTTGTGTCATATATGTTGTTACTCATATAATTATTAATATCCTATATTTATATGATACATTTAAAATACTAATACACGAATTGCCAAGTCTAGGTAAGATAGACAAATTTTTTAACCAACATATTCATTAAGTGTTAGATCAACTAAAATTTATTAAGTTTTATTACACATTAAGTGGTTAAATTAGAGAAAGAAAATGTAATAAGTATAGAAGTGACACATATCATTACAATTAATTATCTTTACTTAATAATTTCATTTATGGAAGAATAAGAAAAAATAGCCTTACTTATTTTTATACTTGAAAAAGAGAAAATGACAATAAGAAAAGAAGGAAAGAAATCCTTATTTAAAAGAAAAAGAAATTGTAGTATATAGTATATAATATAAATTATATCATGGCGGAATATCCTTCATGATTTGTTTCTAGAAGTTTTGATAACTTCTTTTGTGTGTATATGTAATTTTATTTCTTCTTTATAATTTGTTTTCATTTCAATATAATTGATCACTGTTAATTAAATGTTCAACCAAGTGACTTAGGTTGTTATTTGTATGTTTAGTTCATCCATTCAAATTAAAAAATTCATTTAATTAAATTTTATGTTTGTTTTTACAGTCTTTTTTTTTCACAAATATTCATAAAAAAAACAAATATTTGACATAATAAAATAGTTTCATAAAAAAAAAATGAAAATCAAGCTTCACAGGATTGTGGGTTGGGCCACGCTTGGGTGCGTGAGATTTGATGATTGGTCATTAGGAATGCAATAGGTATTTGCAATCGAGTATTTGTATTATTTGATTCAATTAATTAAGATTAATGTATTTTATAATTTAATTAGAGTAGTACTTTGTTATTCGTAATAGATTCAAATGATATCTTTAGGATATTCTCGGTTTAAACTTGATTATATATAATAATTTTTAATATTAAAATTTAATTTTGTATATTATTTTTTATTTATAAATTTTTTATAATTAATGACATATTTATTAAAATTCATAATTATTTTAAATATAATTTTAAAATTTAAATTTACCTATGAATTAATTTTAAATTATTAATTTAATTTTTATTAATAATATATCTAAATTGATTTTAAATTTATTTTAATTGAATACTTAATGAATAAAGAAATACAAGATCAGATAACAATTAAAGAATTTAATCAATATTTGTAAAAATTAAATACTTTATTAAGAGATAAAAATTACATAAAAAATATCAAATAATAAAATTCGAATTAAAACACCTTACGGTCACGAGGCTAAGTGCGAGCCGCGGCCGCGGGTTGGTCTGTTCAGTCACTTGGTAGTGTTGTAGTTTCTCAAGTGGATTACTTGGTGCGGACTGCGAAGAGCGAAGCGAATTAAGGGCTTAAAATCGAATGGCTCAAATTGGACCACAGCTTCGGCTTTCTTCCATGTCTTCGTCATTCTTCAATGGAGGAGGAGGAGACCGACGCTCGCTCTCCGCCTTTTTGTCTTTGAAACCTCCTTCTAACCTTAACAGCGCTAAGCCTCGTTCTTTTTGCAGAGCTTCATGGCAAGAGGTCTTCTCTCTATATGCTTTTCTTTTTGCAATTTCAATCGGTTCTAATATAATCTAATTCAAATGATATGCTGAAATGTATGTAGTTTGTTTCTTATTGATTTTCAGCTGGCGGGAGTGTTGGTGTTTTCAGCAATTCCGTTCACGGTGGTCAAAGCCATCGCTAATAGCCCTCTAGGCGAGTCCCTGCAGAGGCAATTGTTAGAGAAGAAGAAAGAAGCTGTCCAAAATTCTTCAAAGTTCCGGGCTTTAGCTGACAAGGCAAGAAATGAGAGGTAATAATGTTCTGGCTCTGGGGTAAATAAAGAAGCCCTCCTTACATATAGTGATATAGCCGGTGTGGCAAGCAAAAAGAAGCAACAACAGTTTCAAGCTTTTTTGCTTCTGCTTTTGTTCATATCCCTGGTTTCTCCCTCAAAGTAAATTAAGAATGCTACTATTTGTATTTTTTTATGTCTAATTGAATGCTCATGGTAATTCTGCATTTCGGTGTCGTTAATCATATTGATTACTACTAATAAGTTTGGGTAATAAGGATCACTCCATCTGTGGATGTCCGTCTTAAAAATTTAAGAATTTGTGCACTGGGTATTTTGTTTGTTTACCAGCTCAGGTATAAGCTCCTGATAGATACTTTATTATATTTTTATTTTATATATATATATATGTATGTATATATATCTTACAGCCTGTACCTCTGATTTCGCAGCTTCTGGTATGGAGAGGATCGCCCTCGCTGGCTTGGTCCCATCCCCTATGACTATCCTGAGTACCTTACTGGAGAACTGCCTGGGGATTATGGTTTTGATATTGCAGGTCTGAGCAAGGATCCTGTGGATTTCCAGAAGTACTTCAAGTAAGTCATTCATTGCACTTCATTTCTTCTAAAGTCATGGCTGTTTAAGACATTTCCAGTGAAAAAATGTTTGTTTTTAATATGATACAAATCAAAAATCATGACTTTAATTTGTAATAGGTTTATTGGTGCTGAGTTCATATAGCCAGTTGGAGAGCCATTGCAAAATAGTATGTATTATTGCTGAGGAGGTTCTGTGCATGTTTCATTTTTGTGGATAACTTTTCCCAACTTCATTCAGATGCATGTAACCATTTTTCCTTTTTGTTTTCAAAATAGTTCACAATGCTAAACATCAGTACCATGGAGCTAGGCTTCCTGATTCAAGACAATATATTCTCATTAAATTAGTAATGATGATAGCTTAAATTATTAAATGATCAAAGCAATCTCTTTTATGCAGTTTTGAGATACTTCATGCTCGGTGGGCTATGCTTGCAGCCCTTGGTGTTGTGGTTCCAGAAATATTAGATCTGTCTGGCTTCTCTCACTTTGTTGAACCTGTTTGGTGGCGGGTGGGCTATTCAAAACTTCAGGTTGTTAAAACTGCCTCAGTTCATTAAGTATCCTTCATAGACATTCTGAATGATTATAACCTGTTTCATCTTTGGTAATTCCCTTGGTGGGACTTCAGTGTCTATTTTAGTGCTGAATGAGTTTTCTAATTAATGCATTTAGTGCACTTTTTAAGTCTTGTACTTCAAGATATATATTATTGATACAAGGCTTTATCTTAATTTTAGTAATTTTCATTTACTGATATTGCCATTGTAGAATATATGAAATGTAAATTGCTACATTTGTTGCATATCAACACATATATTTGGTATATGTGGAGACTCAATGGGAGGAACGGCATATCAATATACAGGAACTGATTGATCAAATTTAATTTCATTTGAAAATTTTATGTTCGAAACAAATGATTGTTAATAGTATTGCAACTTACCCATTGTACCTACTTGTTGATTTTCACTAGGGAGAGACACTGGACTACCTTGGCATCCCAGGTTTACACTTAGCTGGAGGGCAAGGAGTGATTGTCATTGCTATTTGCCAGGCCCTCCTGATGGTAATGACTTTTTGGCAATTTCGTTATCTGTTCCCTGGCCTTGACAAATATCATTACATTGTGTGCATCAAATCATGCTTCATATTTTTGGCGCATGTTAAACTCATAAGGATTGTGCATCATTCATTCACTTATTGTTTTAACAAAGAGTTTTTATTGGTTATATAAAGTTTATTGTTTGTATGTAAATAGGTTGGACCAGAGTATGCAAGATATTGTGGGATTGAGGCTTTGGAGCCTCTAGGGATTTACTTGCCGGGCGATATAAATTACCCAGGAGGAGTGCTCTTTGATCCATTAAACCTTTCCAAAGACCCAGTAGCTTTTGAGGAGCTGAAGGTGAAGGAGATTAAAAATGGGCGCTTAGCAATGGTTGCTTGGTTAGGCTTTTACTCCCAAGCGGCTTTGACAGGTAAAGGTCCTGTACAGAACCTACTTGAGCACCTCTCTGATCCATTTCACAATAACTTATTTTCCATACTCAAATCCATGTAAAACATATTTGTCAACTGCACCCAAAATATAGATACTTTGTAAAGCTCTTGGTAGACCACTTTTAACTTACTAATATATATAACTGATGATTAATTATGTGAATGAGATTTGGTGTTTTGGAGGGAAAATGTAGAGGTGAGAAGGACGAAAATACCGGAAAGAAACAAGGAATGAGTGAAGAATTATACATGGGGAAAGGGACATGAAAGAGGAGAAAGTTGACTACCAGGCTGAACCATGCCAATCCAGCTCTTTGTTATATATTTCTCCTTCTTCTTCTTCTTCTTCTTCATTTTTTTTAAAAATTTATTTTTAAGGAAATTTATAAAGGCCCATGAGACCAAATGACCCAAAATCCTAAGATTGGGTTGGACCCTTTAATTTTAAGCAAAATAAGCCTAATCTAACCAAGTTCAAAAAAAAAGAGGCCAATCCAAAAAAAAAATGATGTCTACAAGATTCATGCACCTTTTATCAACTCAATTGCTCATGTGGTTTTCCAACAATATTTTTATGGATAAGTGTTTGAAGATTCAATTATGTGGAAAAATCCCAATTATAATCCGCTTCTCAAGGAAAATGCTGGAATCTCACGCTAATCCCACCTTGTCAAGTTGATCTTTAAGATCATTACAAGTGCTCTTAATTAGCTAAATTAAATACCTCTCATTCAATTTGGCATATCATCACTCACGTTAGTCTAGCAATTCTTTAAAACTTGAAATTTATCTATATATATATATATATGAAAGGCATTTGGACTTGCAAAAAGGAAAGGCACTAGAAGTTTTTTAACTAATTCTCTATTTGATATTTAAGTGGCATTTGATATTTTATAATGCAATATGATTGCAGAGAAGATAAAATTGTAGTGTTTTGTCTATAAGTAAAGTAATGATTAAAATGTAGAATTTGATTTAAATGTATTTTACTGAAAATATCATGTCAATTTTCATAATTATCTCTATTTATTAAAATGTAAATTTAATATACTTGCATTTTTTATTGATAATTTTTATATAATATCATCTCTCAAATATATTTTTACTATCATATATTTTATTTTATTTTTAATATAATTTTTTATATTATATTTTTTAATATAATTTTTTATATTATATATTTATTTTATTTTTTTAAAAAAAATAATATAAATTTTATTGACAATTATCATGACTATTGAGAATAATAAAAAGATATCCTTGAAATCTATATAAAAAAATATTATAACATTATAAAATATTTTGAATAAATTAACAAAATTAAAGAGTAATAATATCTTTAATAATATTACAGAATATAAATGTAATTTGATTGCATTAATTTGAACTATAATCATAATGCATTTATTAACTATAATATGATTATATTATAATCTTACATTACAGTAATTTATTATAAAATAAATATTATAATATAATTTAATCAAAATACATTATAAAAAAATATTTTTATTTCTCTCATGTCAAACGCTATTTTAAGCCGATAGAGTTTTAACGTAGAAGAAGAGAGAAAAAGCACGGGAATGGGGAATAAAACCTACTACTTTGGATCCTGCACGTATCTATCCTATTATAGGTGGTAGGCTGTCTACCTTTTGGCAACTAGCAGATGTTAAATGAGGATGTTTAACCTATCCTGTGGAATTTGATGCCAAAGCCACGCAGGCACTTCCTTACAGGTGGATTTCATGGACTGCTTAGGCATCGCCGTTGGCCTAGTCACGATAATGATGGGTTACCATATATATGCAGGAACGTGACATTAGCTATAACTCAACCATGCCTGCCTTTAGTTTTTGGTCAATTCCTTGAAATTTTACAACCACTCTTATCATTTATTGTTGGCAATGGCACCTCCAAGCTCTTTATCATTTATTTTTGGCAGTTTAGTTTTTGCACCTCTATGGGTGAAGATCAGACCCTCGCAACCAGCCTGAAATCCTAAACATGGATCGATTTTCAAACTTCCTTTGAAAATCGCATCATCCATTAACGGTGGCATGGTACTAAGAATAATACACCATAGGGTTATGACGATGTTGTAGCTGATCATTTTGAGCATTAAATTCAAGAATGCCTTTCATCAAGTACAGCAGACAGATTGGATCACGAAGATAACTACTAGTTGAACACGAAACGACAAGATCCATTTCCAATGCTCATTAATGGTTAGTTTTAGGAAATTTGGATAGCCGTTTCAATCATAAGACTAAATACCTGTTAGCTATCTTATCAAGAGGAAAATACCAGCCACCCTGCAGCTTCTTCAGTTCAATGGCTCAGAAAATGAAGTTGATACCCACAAGGAACACCTAACAAAGGCCAGATGACGACTTTTTAAAGTAAGGGATTTAACAATATATTTACAATACAAATAAAAACCCTCCCCATCTTTAATCCACACCTCTTCTTTCTCAACCCTCACAAAAAAACAAAAACAAACCCCAATTGGAGATAGATGGACAACCCTTGGCGCAATTCTAGTAACCCCTAATCAAGGGTATCAAAAAGGAATTTTCCTTCTTTAGACAAAAAAAATTAACAGACAAATAATACTGAATTCAACAGCCTTTTTCCATTAGCGTAACTTGTCTTCTCTCTCTCTCTCTCTCTCTCAACATGGAATGGTTATCTTTTGGGTCATCTAGGCTCGTTGTTTGACTGCAATGATCCATCCCTCATCAATTTCAGACTTAGACTGTTGAACCGCTCTCTTGAATATTGCCTTGATGCTTTTCTCCAATCTGTACCAGCCTTCATCATTGCAGCAAACTCATCATAACTTATTCTCCCATCCTGCAAGTTCATGAAGGAGAATTTAGCATGAATTCAGTGCTCAGGTTTCTAAGAACTAACATGCGTGGAAGCCACAATGATTTGTTTTCCACTTATTGCTGTTCTGGTTTACAACAGTGATACCCTAAGTACTGCATTTGTTAAAATTAAATAAAATCACTAATTTGGGAGAGATATTACTCAACCATATTAACCATAGGCTTTTCTCATTGATTTTCCTTTTGGTTCTATACCTCCAAGCTTAAACTGCTATACAGCCACATCACACACATCCTACTTGAGAATGTGATAGGAATACAAACATCTGGGAAAAAACGTGCTAAAAGAAGGGCGCAATAAAAGGAAAATCCATCTAACCTTGTCTGTATCCACATCATGCATAATGGCACTAATGACTTCTTCACTGTTTGTTTCAACTTCATCTGCCAAGGCATCTCTTAGTTCCTCAATCTCAATGAAACCACTTTGGTTTCGATCAAAGAACTCAAAGGCCTTTTTAAGGTGCTCATCATTGCCCATCTTTCTCAGGTGAACAGAAATAGCAACAAATTCTCCATAGTCCAGATATCCATCTCTATCTACATCACCCTGTGATGAAAATATTAAAATAATTAAAAAAGGGTCTTTAGTTCATCTTGCATAAGATGCAAACAATTTGATTATCATGATGATGCACATATAATTATTAAAAAAGAAAAAAGACAATGCACATATTACAACTGGGTTTTTCTGTGGTCAATATAACAATGGCAACCTCATTGATGCTGTGTGTGTCAAATCTCCCGGATTTTGATCATCATGTTGACCCTCTGGTTTTTATAAACTAGATTTTGGTAAAATATTGGCTCAGTAAAAGAAAGAACAGCATTGTTGTACCACAGTGACATCTACTTATACAGACATTAAGAAACTGCTAGCATCAATGAGCTCATATTGCATGTTCAAGCCTTACCAACAATAAAACAGAATGCAAATTTAGGATAGAACTTACAGCTTCCATTAGTATTTGAAGATCTGCATCAGGTATAGTATGGCCAAGTTTGTGCAACCCAACCCTTAGCTCTTCAATGTTAAGCTTGCCTCTATTTCCTGTATCCATCAATTGGAAACCCTCTTTTATGCCTGCAACTTCCTCCACTGAGAGATGCTCAGCTATTACCTGTTAGAATAATATTTCCCGAAAAGAAAAATGGGGAAAAAAGGTTCATAAGCTAATCACTGGAAGCTTTCTTTAGGTTCTATTGTCCAATTAAAAACCAGAAGCATTACCCTGAGAGCTCTTTTCTTGAGCTTGTTCATTACAGAGAACTGCTTGAGCCTTGCCTTCACAGTTTCACCCAAGGAAACATTTGGAGCTTTCTTTGCATTTTGCAACCAAGGATGATCTGAATTTAATAAGCAAATAACAATTCATTTGCAATTCAGATACAGGAATTTCCACATATAGCAACGCAATTTCGCTAAGCAACTTTCTTTTTTGGTGGCAACTAAAAAATTTCATGAACAGAAAAGCTTTATCATAATAACTAAAATTTACCTAGTACTTCCTGAGCTGTAAGTCGCCGCTTGGGATCAGGATTGAGCATCTTCCTCACAAGGTCTTTTGCATTATCAGAAACTTTAGGCCAAGGGTCCCTCTTAAAATCTATAACAGAGCGAATAATTGCTTGTGCAACTCCTTGCTCAGTTTCTGCATAAAAAAAAAAAAAAAAGAGGAAAGTTAAAAGAGGAGAAATATAGAACAAAAATGAAAGATGGAAGTGAACAATAATAAATGGGGAAGGCTTCAAGTTCCATTAGTATTTACTCACACAAGAAGGTGAAAATAGGACTTTAGAGGAAGTCAAGGGAAAAATGTGTCAAATGCTCCAGTAAGGTGAGACAAAATTCCAGGGGAAGAAGTAGTACTTAACTAAAGTTCATGTGACATTCTCAGCCTTTGTCAGCATGTCACACTACTGTGATAGAATAATTCTTTTTCTTTCTTTTTCGATTGAAAAGGGGTGGAATAAAAATTATAAATTGATCTGTTATTTATTCACTGTTCTGAAACATGAATGCATTGAGAGTTACAACTCTCATTACCTGAACAGGAATTCTCTTTTACTATAAATTACTACGTACCTGCCCAGAAAGGAGGGACACCACAAAGTAAGATGTAAAGGATTACACCAGCACTCCAAACATCTACTTCAGGACCATAATTTCTTTTCAGCACCTCAGGAGCCATGTAGTATGGACTTCCAACTATCTCAGTAAATCTTTCACCTGGAATTGGAAAAATTCAAACTTCAATAGATATACACC